AATAACCAAGATGGGTAGTCGCCACTATTGGAACATTGATGTAGAACACAAGTATTGGTTGAAAGAAACAAGCTGGAATTGCCACTGGAATTCACGATTGAAAAAGTCAATATTTGGAATTCTGGAGGCGGTGACGAATAGGTGGATAAATGCCCAGATACCAGATTTGGGTGGAAAGGAGTGGAGAATGTATTTGGTTACTTAAAGGTGGGTGGTGTCTGACGAGGGGGAGATTTATGTTTCGGTCAAAAAAGGTTAAGAGCAGAAGAATAATGGAGAAATTGGAGTACAGAATCAATATTGCGGTTCAGTTCGCGAATATTGATGAGTGCGTGTTTGCATTACGAGTGTGTGGAACGAGCCCTCGCGCGTGCGAGACAAAGAGAGAGCGTGCTTGCGTGATTTCGTTTTGTCACGTTGATGTTTTGAGAAGCAAGCCGGTAGCCATGATCCTGAGACTTAGAGTGGCGGACCACACAAGGCGTGGTGGTGAGCCGGGCGACGGCAGAGCCGTAAATCATCACACATGGGACCATTGTCTTTTAGTCTGCCCACTGAACCTCTATTCCAGTTCCTACCTGCCTTTCTTTATGCATCCTCTGGTACTATGCGGGGCTGTCTTGCGTCTCATATTGTTTCTCCTCATGACCACATCAGCCTGAAAAATGTTTTATGACTTGTTGCAGTCTGTGCACATGTTTGCCCCACATTTTCCCAAACCTGTTCGGTTTGAGTCTCCTTGAAGGGTTCTTTCACGCATGCGTTCTTGTTTTGAGACAGAAAAAGAATACCTACCCTGAATAAGCCGGAGTCGCGCGACAGTTATTCACGACTCTGTTTCTACCAAACGCATATGCAGACGGCAGGTTATACTGATCAAGTCTCTATGCTATGAAGCCTTCCCTTGTCTTCTCGTTTTCATACATTCGTCATATTTTCCAACTGGTTTTTACATGAGAGTTCCTCAACGCCCTTTCCTCTTGAGATTACGAAACCTGACGCTTCTGTTCAAATCCATTTTCATCACTNCACTTGAAATGATGTATTTTTATCCGTCGTGTAGTGAGACAGTGAGGGAAGCGATTAGCTCTGCGAACAGCTCTGGCTGCTTAAGCCGCTATGAGTCACACGATCGTCCAAAGTGAATTGAAGTGCATCCTAAATTAGGGAAATCTTTTTTGCTTTTTATTTAAATTATTCTTGGAATCAGTATGGGCTTGTTTTCTGATGTATGATATTTAGTCATTCATTCATTCTCTCTCTCGTTATAACTAGATAATGCAATATACTGTCCGATCTATAGAGTTCACTCCTGTTTGTTTTCTCACAAAAAATCAGTGATGAGCCAACATTCCGAAAGTACCATTGTACTAACATAAACTGCCTTGACTTGATGCATATCTTAGATTTCGTGATTTTCGTTGTTCAAACTTAACATTACGTCGTACTCAGTTCACATTTGACGCAAATTCAGCTTTCTAGTCTACTAAATCATTATTTGTGAAATGGTTTCCAGCAACTTATCAAATATTTTTGTCATCCGCCTAACCGCGTGTTGTTTTCCCAGGTCCCGGCAGATGCAGTCACACGTGATATATTTGGTTTGAGCCCTCACGTGGAATACACAATCTACTTGGCTGGTGTGACGTGCCGAGGCGAAGGAGTCCGTGGTTCTGGTTTCCGCTTGCCACCGGCTATCTCTCTTTGGCGCAAAACAAATGCAGCAGAGTTTTCTGAATTGGAAGTTGACAAAAATTCAAGTTTTTATTTCCCTCCTTGGGCTTATGGAATAATCGCAGGAATTGTGTTGTTTTGGATCATGATTGGTTTGCTCGCCCCACTTTTGGTACGTTGCTCATCCGGGAAGCGACATGTTCGCAGTGCAGATAATGTTGCCTCGTTTTCCACTCGAAACAAAACCGGTTCAACTGGTCACCGGAGTCACTCATCGAGACTTGCTTTCCAGTCGTGGCACTGGTGTGTCTGGAACGAATCTGTACGACCGGATAGGATAGCTGAAACCAAAAGTCAATCATCTGCGGACGGTGCGATAACCAGAGGAACTGAGTCTGGTCCAGATTATGCGCTGACTCCCGCATTGTCTGAGAATCAAGTGGAAATGACTACACTTTTGCAGCGTCCAGCGGACGCGCAAACTTCGTCCAGTCCCTCAGAACGCACAACCAGTGAAACACATGGTAGACAGTTTGAACTACGGCGTGCGGTGCTTTCCAGGGCCACCCGAAGCCAGTCAATTCCAAAATTGTCAGCTGAATCGTCCAAGCAAGATTACGATTCATCCAATCTGTTATCGGGAGACGATGCTGAAGTGTACGCAAACAGTGATCCATCCGTTGTCTCCAATCCGCATAGTTCATCTCCGCACAATCTCGCATCTGTTCTATCCGGCCAGAATAGTCAGAGAGTTGTTTCTGCGAATCCAACCATGAGTAAACCACAACTGCCAGAATCGATTAACATTCCCTTCCCGTTGCCTCCCAATTGTCAACGAAGTGATTTCGTTCCAGTATCCGATGAAAATTCAAACACAATTAGTAATCCCAATCCTATTTCTGAGTACATTGATTCAATTTATTCTCAAGGAATACAGATTTATCCCACTGTTAAAAATGATGGACATGACGATGTGGTTCCCCCGTATGCCAGTTGTACAGTGCTTCCTGTTCCCCATCAAACTTTCTCCGGTTCATTCACTCGTCCAATGCATGAAGCTACGTTACCACGGAGCAGCTTTTTTGTTCCAGACTCATTTGTAAGTTGTTGCCGTTTACTGAAAGATTCTTTGTTGACATTTTGTATCATGGCTAGAGTGAATTATATAACAGAATTGTCCATCATTCATGGGATCGAAAAGCTTGTGAAACTGCTTGGTTGGCACTAGTTTGTCACAGCCGCCTGAGAGGAAGAAATACGGATTTTTCTGACCCCGGTGCGCTTTTGTGCACGAAGTACATTATTTTCATGTTAAATACTCATCCTTTTCTAAAATTTAGGTTTGAATCGCAAATATAGTTTCTTCTCCACACAGAACTTTAAGAATAATAATAGCAATAGTAATAATAGTGGAAATAAAACACAAGTCCAACCATTCGTCCGTCACCACTGGAAAATGAGTTTTCAATGTATATCATGCTACTGTAACTAACTCTAATGTTTAATGCATGCAAGTGGACCACTTATAGCTGCTCATTGTCAAGAGGGTCGTTACCCCTTGTCTTTCTTTGCGTCAGTTCGCCCCACTAGCCGTATGTCTTAGGGGAATTAGAAGAGAAACCGCTTTTCTGATATTCCTATAAATTGTTTCCTTTTGTTAAGTTCGGAGAATAGATGCATTGCTTGAAAGGTCTCACTTCTGTTTATGCTTTGATCGCATTTTATGTTTGTGGTCCTTTGTCGTTGCCAACCTAAAGGTTACTCATTTAATTCGTTGATTAAAGTGTAAATGTAAATCATTGTGCGGGAGTAAGTCTACAGTGCAGTACCACGTCGAGCGGGCCCTATGTATTTCACCCCTTCAAGCCCCGGGTTCCATCACTGAACAGTAGAGATCATTGGATCCCTGTCTGCTGTTTGTCACACAAATCCGCACAATAAAATTATGGAATCTGCCAACCTTTATTCCTTGTTGAGCGATCGTTTTCAATAGAACTTACTTTGATAGATTTGAGTTTCGTAGTCTATATGTTTTCCTCATTCATTTTCAAGGTTTATGAATTCATCAATGAAGTTGACTTTTCTTCGTGTTATCAGTTTCAGCTTTTACAAACAGTAACCATGCTTTTCCGCACGCCGGTTTTGTGTGCTATTTTTGGTGCCTTATTTGGATAAAAGAGCAGAATGAAGATTGGAATGTTGAACGCAAATTCAAGCGGAAGATGGAGAATTCATATAGAATGTTGTTAAGAGAATAAGGAGTGGATGCGCGAGAGCCACTGTTCCTCGCGTCGTAGAAAGTGGCTTAAAAGTAAAATACTATTGGCGTGGCTTCATTCCTGTACTTATCTGAACTCCGTTCTGCATGAAAGAGAAAAAACTATATCTTGAGGATTTTTTTGAAACAAACCTCATGCCAATTGATAGAAATAAGTAGATTTTTTGTCAGAACCACATATACATCTTTTCTACGGTTCGAATTACGACCAAACTGCTTTGACTGTCTGCCATTGGTTATCGATTTAGTGCGGTTTTTCATCGACCATGTATATTCAGATTTCATGAACTCCCGTAACACTTGTCTTCTTTGCTTTTAAAATATAACAAAAGTTACGTAAACAGGTGTTGATTGGGTTTGATTTTATCGTTTCTTTGAATGTCACCACCAGAGGTTCACACAGATGCATGAAGTTTCCTATCATTGCGCAGCAATCGACTGTTTCTATCCTCCTCACCTCTTGCATTCCGTTTCTCATATACTTGTTACTAGGTAGGAGTATTTCAGAGGTTGAGAACATCAACGATGTTGTTGGGGTCCAGTAAACAAAATGGACTGAATGACAATGCGATGTCAACCGACAGTAGACAGTTGGACACGGTACAACCTCGAGTTGGTAGCTTATCGTCGATCGTGGTGCATCACTGCTCATGCGTGAATCATTCCTAGCCCTGTCGATACGAAATAGGATAAGTGACTATTTTCACTCCAATCCAATCTATTCAGTCAACTCTTCTTTGACAACCTACTTCCATCACTCACCAGATCGGATAATCCAATCCCCGTGCTTTTCATTCCCAGTATGCATTTATTCTGCAACGGTCCCCTGCTCTTTGTGTTCTGCTTATCACAGTCCTCAATCAAGCGCGGTGTGCGTTCTTCGGGTCATTGGACAGTGTCTCCTGGTAACCACCCACTGCGTATTGTCAGTTTACCAGGACAATAGTTATTTTGCAGTCGTCTGAATGTTCACTCTCGATCCTTGATAAAATAGGTTAATTTCGCTTTCATCGACCACTAATTGTTTGAATCAGTGGGATTACAAAATACATGATACTTTCACTAATCAACGTATTGTATTGCACTGAAGCTTTAGTGAGTTATATACAAGCTTTCAGCCAAAAAATAGATCATCGTTACAATTCTAGTAAAAAAAGGGTGAAAAATGGTATGTGAAACATACAAAAAAAGAGCTAAGTGCATTCGAAAGCCCCGAACGAGCACTTTCCTTGTCGGTCAGTTATCCGGGTAAGATAGGATACCAAAGAGTTTCTGTATGCAGATATGCGAGACGGGATTAGTTTGTTCTTAAAACGAGTAAAGCGGTGGGATTTACATGCACACAAGTCAGTGTGTAAAGGATCGGTGCAATCAGATGGGATATTGTCAGCAAACTTCAAGCACGCATCTATATGGACATTACACATATTGCCAATCAGAACAGTTAACGGAACTTGGGAGACACGGTTGATCATTGAGAGGCCACACCTCAGCAACTTGAAATCAGCCTTCAACAAACCAGGGAAAGTTACATGGGAGCAGTAAAGCGATATAGGGAGGATAAATTGTTGAACAAAAGCGTCTATCACCGACAAGTCAGAACAGAAGTGGCGCAGTCTTCTTATCTGAAAAGAGAGCCTTTTCAACTTGCGAGCAATACTTTGAGTATGTAAGGACCAGTGAAGGTTACTTTCAAGTGTGACACTTAAGTACTTCACATGGCTAACCCTGCTCATCGGCTTTCCATGAATCTGAACATTGCGGAGGGAGATGGGGAACGGTTTAGAGTAAAAAATACATTCAAGGCATTTTTCAGGATTGAGATAAATACCGGATGAAGTGGAATATGAGACGAGGTGGGATAGGTTTGTGTTATATTCAAACAATTCTGATTGGTTAAATACGGAAACAGAAATGGCGATATCATCAGCATACTTAAAATGTCGAACAGGGGTAGTAACAGGTAAGTCACTAATATAAGTCGAAAAAGATAAGGTGATAGGACAGCAC